ATAATTCAAAAATACTGCAAAACGCCTATCATTAAAAATTTTGAAGTGCAAAAGAAACAACATCATTATTCAGAAAGTGAAAACCATCAACCACTGGAAAGAAGACTTCAAACATATACCCCAAAAAAGTATACACTGTTTCTAATAAATCATTGGTAACAAGAGAAAATCCACCAATAGAGGAATCAATTTTTGGCATATTTTTTTCTTTAAACACATCTGTAGCAACAATAAATAAAATCACAAACCAAGATTTATAGCTTGAAAAAGCTAAAAAAACACAATGTTCACTAGCTTTTGATGAGGCATGTGGCTCAAAGCAGAACAATTTGTAAACTTTGTATGAAAATTATTTAGTTGGAGATAAATAAAAATACATTGTGACCTTTGTTGAAGCATGGGTTTAATTAAATGACTGGAGGGAAAAAAAAAAAAAAAAACAACTACTTATTATTTAAAACAAAGAGAAAAAATTTATAAACCTGGTTCCATCAATACAAAGAAAGTTTCAGTAAGCGGTTTATAATTGCTGCAGGATTCTCTTACAACGGGAAATTAAAAACAAGAAGAGAGAAAAAATGTGAAAATCAAGAGAAAATTTTACATTCGATTTTTATGGAATAAACTCAATTTCTTTATCCCGATGACTTTTAAACAGACTTCATCAAGACAAAGCAAGAAGTCACAGCTCAAAAAGTATCACTTCATTCCTTAAAAAAAAATGAAGATCGATACAGGCATTGCTTTAGCATATTCCTACGAAGTCCCATAAAGCCATGTTTCACCTATGGAGCTCAGGTCTCTTGAAAAGAGATTTTATGTGCTAACCCACAACAATTGCTCAACTCTAGAAAGTAATAGAAGTGGTATAGAAATCAAAACCTTTGAAAATGTTATGAAAAGCACATTTTATTATGGAAATCTTGATGCAGGAAATCATGTCCAGAAAAACAGCTATCAGATTACACATTAAAGAAAATATTTCTTTTCTTATAAAACATTAATTAAACAACACAAAATCATTCTAAAATGTGTAAACAACTTCCTGCATTCCACCATCCTCTTAAAAATTCACAGTTTTCATGCTCCCCATCCAGTTTTCAATATTACCATCAGTAATTTCTTCACAGCCAGGAATTTTCTTATAGCAGAATAGTCCACAAAGTTTCTGTACGATTTCTGCCATCTTGAGTGAGATTGTCTCAAAACTGTGCTGCATGAGAATAGGAAAAGGCATTGTCAAGTACAAAATGTGCTTTTTGGCATATTTTTTTTTTTTTTTTATTGTAGAAACTTTTCCAACAAAGAAACAAACTGCTGATAAAATCAGCAATCAAAAACGGTTCCACTCTTTCATGCATCTAAATGACATTTGCAGAGCAAAGAATAAGTTAGTCCCATTAGGTTAAATTTTTATGCTTTCCTAGGAAGTTTCCCATTTGCTCATGATTAAGCTTATGGACCTGTTGCATTAAGACATTAAGCTGTTGCATGCCAAGATTGTAACTCTTTCCTTGCTTCTTGAGGAGCATTGATTCTTTTTCCTCAGTATGCAAGCATTTTTGAAAATAGCATTTAAAATTCCTTCGAGACTCATCATAGTTGTAAATTTGATCTCTAGATAGATCTTAATTTTCAACCAGTCTGTGGATCATTGAATTTATTAACATTTTTTAAGTCAGAAGATAGCTTTTCACCATAAATGTTTAAATGCCTGATGATGCAGTCTTTTATCCACTCGCCGAGCCACTGAAAAACAGAAATAAATCCAAGCTCTTTTTCTTGAAATGACTCATTTAAGGGCGTGCTCTTGCAAAATAGATCCTGAAATGACAGATCTTTTTCCTTTTGCTGCCTAAATCACAAATAAACTCTTTCACTCACTCTCTCCTGTTCCTACTTCATACTTTTCCTTTCCTTCAAAGCATCAGTACAGTACGAAGTCCGTAATCTAGACGGGTTCTGGATTAGGGGTTTTTCCGGATTATAGATCATCAATTTAAATCTGGTAAGATGGCATGCAGAAATGATACAAATAAAAATATGAAATCGTAATTTATGAAATAAAGAACAATTACAATCTAAAGGGTACCAAAATGTACAAAAAAAAAAAAAAAAAAAAAAAAAAAAAAAAAAAGCTTGATATTTATTCAATGTAAGCTGTTTAAGATGCTTCCACAAAAAATTCAAAAAGTTCCTTTTTCTTGCGTCATATCTAGTGGACTTTCCAATGCCATACTTCTCGCATAATTTTGAGATGGATAGGCCTTTATCTATTTTTTGCAGTAATTCCACTTGTTGTTTAATGGACATTGAAACATGCTTTCGCTTTGTAGATCCTTTGGCAGCTCCAGAATTGGAAACTCTTTTTGACATAATCGAAAGATCAAGCATAATTTTTATAAAATTGTTCTAACAGTCTGCAAAAAATAATAAGCTCGATCCAATTAGAAGATTAAGGAACAGCGCAATCTGCAACATTAACTGAAATGCCTTAGATAATTTTAGCCTAGCTTATACTGCCCGTTATACATTAAACGTGCATGCATAAATGAATTATGCATTTACACATGCGCATAAAGTTTGTAGCTTTGATTTCTGGATTATGGACGTCCGGATTACAGACTTTGTACTGTATATGTTTTTTTCACATACCAAGATTAAATTTCAGACCTATTAGGTTTTCTCCCTGTTATAGTAGTCCATCCAGCAATTAAATCCAAAGTAATTTTATTAACCCGTTCAAGGCCAATGTCCTTTTTTGGGTTGCATATTTATATAGATTTAAAACCATGACAATTGTAAATACATTATTAGTCTTTTATTCAGGAATTATTCATTATGCATTCTAACATTAATGTAAAAAAAGATGCAGAACTAACAAAGTTTGATGATAGAGGTCTTCAAATGTGCATAATTTCAGTGTGACCTGTGATTGTCTGCAGTATCAATCTGGCAGTGAATACTGATGTGTTGTGTTAGCAAATTAGTTTCAAAAATGATCAGTAGATATAGTAATATAATTTAAATTTAAATATAATTACACATTTAAATATAACAATAATTACGATAATTACAATTAAATTTATATAGCACCCTTCTGTAGAAGATGGGGGAAATCAATAATTTTCAAATACACATTATGTTTGGATTCCAGCTTTTAACCCTTTGCGGAGCACTATACGTTAACGTCGGAATTTCAACAAAAAAAAGTTGTATGCTGTCTATTTAGTCCTAAAGGAGTATACAGGAAAAATTTTGTAAAAATTGCACTTACCGTTTTAATTCTGTGGGCGTTCCAAAAGGTGGAACACTGCGCCACCAGAGCTTTTAAAAGTGCGACTAAGCGAGCATTGCAGTGAAGCACGAAAATGAGTAGAAGCATTTGTATAAGAATGAAAAAAATCTATATTATGGCTGTATATATGGTTTCCTGGATATGCACAACATTCTTGAATATATATGGATAAATGAGATAAATATCTATATACACAAGTCCTATACACAAAAATATTTACAAATTTTCTTATTTCTTAGCTTCGTTAAATTGTTCAAAGCAAGTCACACCTTTTGATGGAAGCACAAACCAACTTTGCGGGTTTTGCACATAAAACTTGTTTTGTGCGGCTTCTGCTTTATGCTGCAATGTGCACATCGTCTATGCGTACCCTTCACTGGTATGTGTTCAACATTACTGTAGCGTTTTTCCTCGGAAACCTTTGCTTTATGCCTGGGAGTATCTTCAGGTCTTGAAAGACGTCACCTCTTCAAAGTTATCTCTGACGCTTTCAGGGCACAGAGGGAACACAGCTAATTTAAACGGAAATCTTTGGGCTGTAATCTGAGGGTAATTCATGAAACACTTTTAGCGCTTCGGAAAGAGTTAGACCTCTCCGCACCATTTATAGAAAATTAATAATAAAAAAATTATCTACGATTAATATTAACAATAAAGAAAACTAAGCCTATAATATATACATACACGAAAAATATCTACACAATTAATGAAAATAAACGGGAATGAGACTAAAAAGCGACAGCAAAAAATTCGCGCAGGTCTAAGTAAAGATGAGTCAAGCTACAAATAAAATTTCCGCCTAAAAACGACTCCCAAAAAATTCGAGATGCCAACATTAAAGCTTCCTGGCTTTCATAATACAAAACACACATCACCCCTCAATACTGCTTTGTTTGAATTCATTCCTCCCCCCCAAAGCAACGGAAACAGAAAATGTAAACAACGGATGTTCTCTCCTAAGCACAGATGTTCTGATTCGTAACAGCATGAGATCGCTAAAGGCGCAGTGTTCCCGCTAATGGAACACCAGAGTTTATTCAATGATTCTGCGTATGGTTTTTGTCTGAAAGATTAAAAAAAGTGTAGAACAGATAATTTGAAGTACAGCCAGAAAAATTATGCCTAATTTTTTTTCCAAATAAAATTTTTTATATCATTAAAAAAATAGAGAAAATTACTTGAAAAAGTGGATTTTAATAACACATAATAAATGAAAATTGTGTCTCCTTGTGATGTGCTGCTATCTACTATTTAAAAAGAAAAGTTCAAAGTATATTATAAAGGCATTTTTATCTATTTATGGTTGAATTTAAAGGTTTTAGAAGTGATTCAGTTTGGGTGTTCCATGTAGTGGAATACTGAGCCGCAAAGGGTTAATGAATTAATACTTCCCCACCCCCTTTTTCCTGTCTCTTTAAGACATCAAATTTCCTTTTCAGTGTTATGTTAATTTATTTTTATTTCTTCTCATTCGACATTTTCAATTGCATATGACAAAACAATATGAAAATTTAAAATTTAAACATTATTTTTTTAAAAATCTCTAACATGTATACAGCGTAAAGAGCTGTCTAGTAATGGTAACACAATACTTAAAATTGAGAAACATACAATAAATAGTTTTATAAAAGGTAAAAAATACAGAAATTTACTTTAGAAAATTAGGAATATAATTTAAGAACTTGAAAGACAAAATACTTACAGAACGACCAACAACAATAACATACGGTATTCCTAATGAATTAGATTCTTGAACTCTTTTACCAATTGTTAAATTTGTTCGATCATCTATGAGAACATTAGACGATAACCAATTAATGTTATTTAAAGAATCTGACAAATCTTCGGCAAAAGGAGTAACAGATTCTTCCTTGCTACCTTTCTGAAAGATAAAGTTTAAATAAAAAATAATGCATTTACAATAATGATAGTAATAAAATAGAAAAATACAATACAGAAAAGAGAAAATAATTAACTTATTAACACATACATAATTTACAGCAGTATGAATAAATAAACAATGTTTTATACATAATCAGAACTATTGTCCACAAATTATGGTAATATATACTTTATGAATCAAATACTCTCTGTCACAGGAAGTAAACACCATACACTGAAAACATATTTTAGATCCAGGGCCAGCTCCAAACATAGATAACATCAGTATCACTTATGGCAGAGATGGTGAACCAATGACAAAAAAAAAAAAAAAAAAAAAAAAAAAAAAATTGGGAATGGCATTATTTGAGGAATTTAGGTACTTATCCATCAGCAAAGTCAGTAATTGAAAGACCATTTTTAAAACTGTTTCCTTTGCAGGCAATGGAACGTGGTTATCCCTGCCCTTTTGTCTGAATGGAAGTGAGCATGTGCAAGCAGCAGAAAGGGGTGTAAAGCTAGCTAATTGCTTGTTTGCTTTTGTTTAGTGAGTGCTTATGTCAGCTGTAATTACACACAGTTTTTTATCATTTTAAAATTCATGTTGGTAACACAACTGCTTGCTTAAGTTTGTGTGTGTTATAATTACAATTTTAAATATTACTTGACATGACTAATTTGACCCCCCCCCCCAAAAAAAAAAATGGAAGATAAGTGTAATAGAGAATTTCAATCTTTGTGGGCTGAGAAATATGGCATCTTTAATAATAAGGTGATAAAGCTTTGTGCATTCTGTGTTCTGGAACAATGGTATATAGAACATCATCTGTAAAATGACATTATGAAACAAATCCCTAATCTCTTTGTCAAAAAAAGGGGGGGGAAATCATCGCATGTGATAGATTGAGATAAGAAATAAACAGTCAACATCTAAGATTAAATATATTAGCAAAGATTGTCATACTAGTGCTGCAAGGTTTTCAGCTGCAAATATCATTGTCTGGCACGGTAATTCTTTTGGCGAGGAAGAGTTTTTGAAGGAAGCCTGGCCGATCATTTTTTTAAAATAAAGATGCTGTTACGTTATATTCTTCTTTCACATTCGTACGGGGTTCGTAGATTTGGAGTGAATAACGACGACACTTGATTAAGTATCGAAACACACTTTATTTAGCCAATATTAATCAGGGCAGCTCCAATAACACTTACTTTTTACAGTCGTTGAAAATCTACTATAAACACGCTGGAACAATCAGCGACACAGCCTTCACACTGTCAGGCAATAACGGTGAAGACAGCTTCCCCACAAAGCACCAGAGTACAGCTCCCAACTCTGCTCGTCCGTTCTCAGAACTCCACGTACTCTCGAGACTCTCCACAATACAACATGCTATGCACTCAATGACACACAGAGCACGGCTCCCGACTCTTCGGTTCAGTCATTCCCGGAGCTCAACATGCTCTGTCGACGATGCACTAACCGTGTACACTAACAGACTCCTTCAGTGGACTCGACGACCCACTCGGCACTCACTGCCCAGCTGTCAACTTGATCGACTCCGCAGAGATTGACTCGCTAGACGAGGCACACACACTCTCGATGAGAGACACACTTCCTCTCAATGAAGAACACTTGCTGACTGCAGACCAGCAGGGTTTATATAGCTTTCGGCTTGTGTTCGGGAACATTCTGGACTAAACCGGTAAGAATTCGTTCCAGAAGGTTCTCCAACCACCCATGGTATATCGCCAATTTTGTCACCAAATGAGCAATTTCTTGCCAAATGTGCCAACCCTACTTTCCCTTTGCCTTTTTATGGCAACCCTAAAACTGCTTTGCGGGGAAGCTATCTTACCGTGCCTTTACATTTCGTAACACTGCCCCCTCCCAAGGACTGCACGTCCCGAGCATTACAACCCTTGGTCAGAAGCATAATTCGATACAAACAAAGCGTAATGAAACAAACATAAGGTATACATAAATAACATAACTAAAGAAACAGATATTTACAGTATGTACAAGTCATATACACAAATTAAACGCATACCAATTTTAAATTATTCAAATTAAGGTCTCAATTAAAAATTAAATCTAATCTCTAATTAAATCTAATTAATATTAAATCTAATTAATATTAAATCAATCTCTAAATTAAATCTAATCTAAATATAAAATTAAATCTAAAATCTAATATCAAATTAAAGTCTAATGTCAGTCTCTGTCTTTTCATTAAAATATACCCGGATCAAATACTTTTCCACTGCAGTTCTCAGATGTATTTCTGTTTTGCATATCATAGTCTGAAGATTCAGTCCTTTCAGACCTTTCATCCACAGGGAGATGTGAAACAATTTGTTCACTACTCTGAAGTTTGTTCGCATCACGTGTACAGTTCATAGCGAAACTTTTAGCAGATGGTACGTGCTTATTTTCCTTTGTTTTCTGGGAACCAGCTTCAAATTCTGCATCAGAGTCATGAACGGAAGCCAATTCTTCACAAACACAAGTATCCAGGTTTAGAATCAAGTCCTTGTCTTCAAAACCTGCACTATGAGATGCACACATAGTTTGCAAAGTGGGTGAATTTTCTTGTGATACTGGAGCGCACTGCTTAAGCTGCACATACGCTTCTCCCATCTCTGCATCAAACGCACTTTCAGATGTTTCAACACTTGCTGCCTGCGACTTCGTAACTTCACTATCAGTTTCGACGAACTTAACAGTCGCATTTTCACTTTCTTCCACTTCCACTTCAGGCACTTGAGAATCAAAAGCTTCTTTTGCGTCTTTTATTTTTTCTTGTTTTCGTTCTTTTTCTTTAATTCCGTTAGATGTTTCATCATTCATTTCTTGATCTTTTTCAGACAGTTCATTAGCTACTTTCTTCATCCTTTGATTCTTCGGAAGCCTTAGATTCTCCAGATGCCACTACTGTCATTTTCACATCTTCTTTTATGGCTCCAGTTTCTTCTGCAAGCTGCACTTCCACCTGTCGGAGTTGCACTCGCACCTTCTCTTGGCCGACATTTAATTTTTCCCGTCGGGCATTCTTCTCTTCCAGTGTAGCTTTCATCTCTTTTAGTCCGGCTTTCAACTCAGCCTTGATCTCTTGATATCCGGCTTTCATTTCAACTCTCATCTCTTGATATCCGGCTTTTATCTCAGCCCTCATCTCGGCTAAGAAGTCCATCAAAGTCTTCATTTCCTCCGCCATGGTTTTTTCCTTCAGGCGGGTCACTGGCATTCACTCGCAAATTCCACTTCTGACACCAATTGTTATGGACACCAGTTGTTACGTTATTTTCTTCCTTTACGTTCGTACGAGGTCCGTGTAGATTTGGAGTGAATAACGACGACACTTTATGAAGTATGGAAACACACTTTATTTGCCAGTATTGTCAGGACAGCTCCAAAATCACTTTTACAGTCGTCGAACTGTTATAAACAAGCTGACATGTTCAGTGACACAGCTTTCACACTGTCAGACAATAACAGTGGAGACAGCTTCACCGCAAAGCACCAGAGTACAGCTCCTGACTTTGCTCGGCCATTCTCGGAACTCCACATACTCTCAAGACTCTCCCCACTACAACACGCTATGCACTCAATGACACACAGAGCACGGCTCCAGACTCTTCGGTCCAGTCGTTCCCAGAGCTCAACACGCTCTCTCAACGATGCACCAACTGCGATACACTAACAGACTCCTTCAGTGGACTCGACGACCCACTCAGCACTCACTGCTCAGCTGTCAACTTGATCGACTCCCCAGGGATTGACTCGCTAGACGAGGCACACACACTCTCGATAAGAAACACACTTCCTCTTGATGAAGTGCACTTACTGACTGTGGACCAGCAGGGTTTATATAGCTTTCGGCTTGTGTTCGGGAACATTCGTTCCAGAAGGTTCTCCAATCGCCCATGGTATGTCGCCAATTTTTTCGCCAAATGGACAATTTCTTGCCAAATGTGGCAACCCTACCTACCCTTGCCATTTTATGGCAACCCTAAAACTACTTTGCGGGGAAGCTATCTTACCGTGCCTTTACATTTTGTAACAATACAATAATTCAGCACATTAAATGTACCCCTTTATTTAGAAACAAAGTAAAAGACAATATAAAGTTTGCCTTGTTTTGGTAGCATAAACAAGTACCAAACTCCTAACAGACGTTAAGCAAATTATTGCTATATATGGACAGAACTAGAGAGTCTTAAGAATGTTTTAAAACAAACCTTTCTATTAAATCAAAACTGGAACATAAATGCAAGACTTGTGTTTACAATTCTACCAACTACTTGTAGTGATATAATTTAAAAGTAATAGTAAATTCAAATTTAAAACTAAGTCTAGTAGCTAAGGGCTACACAAAAATAATTTAACATAAAGTTGTTCTAAACTTTCTACTGGTAACACAATTTAAATTTCAACAAATATATTCAAAGCCAAAGAATACAATCTTATATGAGCTAATTATGTGGTCTCAAGGGGCAGAAACATGCTCTGTCTAACCACCTCAGCTTAAATACTCACAACTAATTTGCATTCTGGTACGAAAAAGGAGGGGAGAAGTGATAATAAAGATCTAGATCATAAACAATTGATTGATTTAAATTATAATTGTTAGAACATAATCCTAAAACTGGCAGAAAATGGGAAGGGGGGAGAATGGGACACCAAATAGTTTCCCTTTATATCCTTATGTCTTGACAAAAGTACAGATTTAACTAAATCTGTTCATTCAACTGTTTTTGCTCAATATTGTGCAGTAAATGGTATCAAGGAAGAGTTCATTGCAATAACATTGTTGTCAACAATTATTAAGGACACAGACATTTGTATGGCTGTTATTAATTCCTCACTAAATAAGAAAGAAACAGATTTAACTAAAATTGCTTCAATAACAACTGATGCTGCTCCCAGCATGATTGTCAAAAATAATGGTTTTAGCAGTTTATTTCACACATACATTAGAGATTCTTGAATTCCACTGCAATACACAATCAAGCCTTGTGTGCAAAGGATTATTTTGCCTCCCTTGCTAATATGACGGCCTTAATCACAAAAATAGTGAACCTCGCATTCTCTCAGACTTTAAATAAATAAAAATTCAATGCTTTGTTGGATGAAGACAATTCAGTGCACAATGGCTAATTGATGTATAACAATGTTTGCTGGTTGTGTTGTGGTAATGTACTTCATAGATTTGTTAATTGCTTGGAAGAACATTTGAACTTCAAGAATGTAAAGTTTCAAGAACAAACAAAATAGTTATCATTATGATAGATCTCAATCGTGCTTTTCAGGCTAAACTGCAAGTTTTCAGTAACAAATCCCAACCAAGCAAAAGTCACTGAAGAGTTTCCTTTGGCAATTCTTAAATCAAAGAATTTTCATCAAGATTTTCTCGGTTTACAGCGTTATTGGAAATACTCCAAGTTTATTCATTCCGTCATGTGACTGCACTTGTTAAGTAACTTGTCTAAGTTTGATTGGTAGGAAATTGAAAAGCTGAAATGCAGCTAATTGATTTCCAGTCTAGTTCAATACAGACTCAAAATAAGGAAAGCGTGGGAATTAATCAAACTAGAAAGACATTCAGGAAATATGAGCAAAAATGTCAGTACTGAAATTATGGAAACGTGAAACTCAATTCTGAATACATATAGCTGTCTGAAGAAGCTAGCATTTACTATTTTAATAATATTTTCATCTACCAATGCCAGTGAGTTATTATTTTCAGAAATGAATAACATTAAAGGTTTGCTTAGAAACTATTTGTTAGATGACTCCTGTTCCCCTTGCATTCTGTTAAAACTAACAAAGTATGACCCTAATATACATTATTTGGCATCTAATTTGCAACAGCAATTAACTTATTTTTTTTCTTTATTAATAAACATAAAAACTGTTCATTTGTGATGGAGAACAGCCAAGGCCAACTGCCCACCCACATGCATGTATGCACACACACAAAATTATTATATACATATTATTATTACTTAAGTTTAAAACTTTTTAACTTAAGTGTTAAAAAAATTAATTTAAAATTTGATATGATGTAATCAATCTGAAAACAATATTTTTGAACACAATGTAATTCTATGGCTCGCTCTAAGCACATCTCTCTGCTGACTTTTTGTTTTAGTTCTTTCTTTCTCCAAATAAACCTTGCAGTATGCTCATGGAATTTTATTTCACCTTTTGATGTAAATATAAATTAAAAAATTTATGGAAATGTTCAACAAATAAGCAACAATGAAAGATCAGAATTACCAAATTGGATATGTGTTATAATCACCTCTACATCAGAACCTACATATTTAGACATCGGAGGTTCTGGTAAAATATCTATTATTTTTACTAAATTCCTATACCTAAATAATAACAATCTCATGAGGTATTTTGAAAAGGTATGAAATAAACCTTATAACATTTAATAACAAATTCAGTGCTATCAAGCCATTTCAGAATGGTAACAATTAAACAGCAAACTTTATTAAAAACAAACTTTATTGAAACAGCAAACTTTAAACATTAATAAATAGCAAACTTTCTCCCCTTTATGGCCCACCAGCAGCCGAGCGGTAAAGTCGCTGAATACTGGTAGTTTGGTCCGAGGTTCGAATCCCGCGAACGGGCTGGCTGCATGGGCGTTTTCGTGGTTTTCCCCATGTGTAACATGTATACGAGCCAGTTTCCCTTAGAAAGTCCTCCACGAAGGCATCCCTCCCCTTAGGCAGATAGCTCTTGAGGCTTTGCCATAATCTCACACACACCCTTCTCCACTTTATACACTAGTAAGATAGTAAGTAAACAGCAAGAATATGCCATAGCTTTAATCACTAAATTGGATTTATTTTGGAAAGATCAAATGAAAGCATATTAAAAAATGAGCATGAACTATAAGAGTGGCTGCTATTAATAAAAAATAACATAAACATGAATTTTTTAGAAATTCTGTTAATTTTCTGATATTATTACTCATTTAATTTTTAATATAAAATGCTGTTATTTGTTTTTATGTAGGGAAAAAGTTTGACAAATACATTTTTGATAACTACAAATTCTTACAACTTTTTGAGAAATACCTAAAATTCAAAAATTTAGTGTAATCATAAAATAAAATGTATAATGAACTAAACATTTTCTTTTACTTTTGGAAGAATAAGAGATAGATAATATGGTGCTATTCTCAATGGCCATCGGATATTATCAACAGACGACAAACATTCCACACATGCTGCCAATATTCTTGTTAGTCCAAGACCATAAGAACCCATTTGATATTCCCTGAAAACAAAACAAAAACATTAAGTAGCTTTCGAATACACAAAAACATATATAAGTAATTCGTTTTTTAATAGAGGACTAGAGAACAAATTTAGAATTTTACAAATTAAGCACTACACATACACACTGCTCATCAAAATTAAAAAATATTGATTGAAATAAAATTTTAATGTTATTCATTGAAAAAGGATTAAGTAATTTGTACAAAAGCATTGTTTAACATAAACTTCCATGTTTATCAGTTGATTAATATTAAAATCTTGAAGTTAAAGCCCAAAGTTATAGAAAATTAGATGAGAGAAAAACAACATCCCTTGTATTGCAGCATATTTTTCTTTAATATGGTATATGATCATCTCTGATAGAAAACCACTCTCAGGGAAACACTTCTGTAAGTGCACTTTTCATTCCTAAAGGATCTGGAAAAGTATTCAGTGCACTGTAATCCAGTGGTCAAGGCACCTACACAATGCTCAACAATGCTTAAGTTGTCGGTGAGTAATCTAGCCAATTAATTTGAATGATATTTTCTGTCTCTAAGTATTCTGACACTACAGATTCTCAAATAGAGACAAATATTTTCCTCCCTTAATAAAAGTTCAGATCTTGTACAACTTCCATTTGTATTTGTCCCCCTTTAATCTAGTAATTAACCACAACTTTTGCCCTTCATTTAAATGGTGTCTTTTATGCATGTAATTTTAATCATTGTAAGTTTTAAATATAAAAGTGGTACTACAACTCCATTTCTTCTGCATGAGCATTGTTGCTGCTGTGCATCAAGACATTTTAATACTAAATGCAGTCTTTGAATTTACAAGTTTCTACAGTAAAATATATAAAAAAGCTTAGGGCACAGGAAACACAAGATAAAATACTACCTACGTGAGTTTAATGCCATACCAATAGGTCAGAAAACAAAAATTAAATAATATTTAAAACAAATGAATTATATATTTAACATCTATGTATTCACAATCTCTCCACCTAATTGTGTAAAAATAAACTTCCTAAATTCATATGAATTGAAAGCCTGTTGAACATCTAAATTTCTGCTAATCTGATAGGCATAATAACATAAGCTTGGATGTTTGTCAAGGATATAGTGCCTGCACAACATGGAGGTACTTCAAATAATGGTGAGGCAAAAGTTCTCTCATTAGGTTTGGTAAGAGAACCTAAGATCCACTTGTCAGGGTCTTTTACATCAAAATTAAGGTGGAGTTATATAATAAGTGTGGTGGGACTATACTTGTAAAACCACTGACGAATTTCTGGTATTATGCCCATTTCTTTCCATCTTCTGTAGCATGAATAATGCTCCACTAAGGAAATAACTTAAAACATTCTCATAAAATTCTTATAAATTCTTAGAAAAAATTCTGGACCATAAATCTAAAATAAACTAATGCACCTAAAGAAGTGAGAATGCAGAATATTTAAATTTTGAGAATTTTCAGAGAATAGTTTAAAATTTCAATGAATAAATAAGAGAAAGTTCATAATCACTCAGCAAAAATAAAGATCAAACAAGATCGTCAGAATCCCTTTCATTGAAAAAAAAATAAAAAATAAAAAAAAAAAAATAAAGTATTTTTTTGATTCTTCAAGATTATAAAATCAGCATATAATTTTAAAATGCTATTTTGAGAAAAATATACAGAGAACAATTATGTATTTTGATGACAATTTTTCCAAAATGATTTTAGTGCAGTAATGCCATTTTAATTAAATAAGCAATTCAAGATATATAAACATTTCATCAAAGAATAAATATTGCAAATATTAAAGAAAAATATATAAAAATTGTTCTAATATTGTCCTCAATCAATTCAAAGACAAAAACTCAAGTTTCAATTCCTCTTCAAAACAATATATAATCACTATCTTTCATAAAAAATATTAAAAAAATCTGTATAGAAATTCTTTTTTTAGATGTTAAATACTAACTCAAATAATTGATTTGAAGTTTCAAATTTGGCTTGTAAAGGTTCAGAATATCTTCTCCCTAATAAAAATGCATGTCCTACCTAAAAACAAAATAACAATATGAGAAAAAAAATTAGGTGAAATAAATCAGAAAACTAGTTTTTTAAAAAATAAATAGTATCAGAAAAATCCGTTTTCTTTTCAGGAAAGTATGTTTTTTTTTTTAAAGAGATATCTTAAAAATCTTACCTTAACAGATAAATATTAAGCATTACAGGGTAATAATATTAACAATATTTGCCATTTTATGCGAGAAATGTCAGAGCTAATAAAATATAAAACAATGAAGGGGGAATAATCAGAACAGATAATAGGATGGCTCTTTTAAAAACAAATCGTTGAGTAAAACTTTCTTCTAAGCATAATTATGAAGATTGCTATCAAACTTAAAATCTGAAAGACAGGGAATTTCCAGGTTTTCACACTGCATGATGAATATATTTTAAAAGCATGACAAACCAACTTATGCTTACTTTATAATGCATGATTCACATTATCGAACAATTTATAATACAATTCTGATATAAAGTACATTGACATTTAATTAGATATTCTAAATTTACGTTCTTTGTATAATGTCATTCAGTAATATTTTTAAACTGTTTATACTGATAAAATCCTCAGCAGAGAAGAAAAGCTTTTATTTACCAAATTACTTTTAAAAGTGATTAAAGTAAGATTGGTTTGAGTGGAAAAACTTAGTAATGTACAATTTATTGAGATAAAACAAAGTTAAAAACAATTATTAACTTATTAAACATCGGCTGAATTTTCATAAAAAGTTCTACCAATATCTACAGTAAATTAACACAATGGTGACCAGCAAAGATAAATCTTGTTTTTGTCAGAATGTGTTAAGACAACTCAGATCAAACAAAATTTAGTAAGGAAAATTATGTTGAAAATCACTAAGGCTGGAGGAACGGAATTTTTGAATTTAAAGTTCCATTAGTTCAATAAAATTGATTAACTGATGGCAAACATTTTCTTCAGTAAAGGTTTCTTCAGTTGGTGATCTAACAGGAGTTTTTGATGTAAAGTTGGGAGAATTGACATCTGTGTATTATGTTTTTTTTTTTTTTTTTTTTTTTTTTTAAATTTAATATATCATTGTTCTCTATCAGCCTGATGTATACTTATCACATGATGTTATATCCTAAATAATACTTCTTTATGCTTTTCATGCGCAATAACATATTTACTAAATACTGGTAGCTGTTGCAATGATGCAAGCAATATAAAAAAATTATCAGTGTTTAAGGTTTCTTCCTTTTACTATTTGATTAAGTGATTAATAATGCACAAAATACTACAGTCAAAAGTCGTTAATTCGGACACCCATAATCCGGAATGATCTATAATCCGGACCTCAAAGCTACAAACTTTCTGCCGACGCATGCGCGTAAGACCTTTACCGCTGCTAATTTGCGTGTGCGCGCGCGCAAAATACGTTTACGAATGCGCGTTTAATGTATAACGGACGGGATAAGCTAAGCTAAAATTATCTAATTATCTATTTCAGTTAATGTTGCAGATTGCGTTGTTCCTTAATCTTCGAATTGGATCCGGATTATTATTTTTTGCAGACTGTTAGAGCAATTTTATAAAAGTAAGCTTGAACTTCCGATTATGTCAAATAGAATTTCCGATATATATTTACTAATATGTAAAGGATCTACAAAGCGAAAGTAATGTTTCGGAGTCCATTAAACAAAAAGTGGAATTGCTGCAAAAAAAATGGATAAAGGCATATCCTTTGTTTATCTAAACTTTAACGTTTGTTTATCTAAACTTTGTTTATCTTTAACGCTGCGGCGGCGTGCATTGAATTGGAAGTTGATCTGTCAACACTATCCTTATCTTAAGGGCAGATGTTTTTATTTTATTTGGCTTATAATTGCTTACTCAATGTAGTATTTCATCTCGTCTTTGATATGATTTAAATCAAATGCCTCGTCATTATAATTCGCTTCCGATAGCGAAGAAAGTGACAGAGGTTATTGAAAACGAAAAAATTTCGATTGACAAATTAGTCGGTATTCTCGACACAGCAATTATATCACTTGAACAGCGGAACTTTGTAACTGAACAAGAAATTATGTCTGTTTATAGAATTAAAGAGAAAGTATTATAACATAAAAAACGAAGCAACTTAAACCACTTACATTGAAAGAATGTTTAATAAAGTAAACAAATAAATATTAAGCTTTTTTTTTTTTTGTAAATTTTGATACCCTTTAATCATAATTGTTCTTTATTTCGTAAATTACGGTTTCATATTTTTAATTTTATAATTTCTGCATGCCATTTTACCAGATTTAAACTGATGATCTATAATCCGGAAAAATCGATAATCCGGAATCGCCGAAGTCCCGACGAGTCCGGATTAACGACTTTTGACTGTACCTCTTTCCTAAGTCATTGTAACTAACTGCTGGTATGGGTTGTCCAGTAAATAACTTTTGTTAGCAAAAATAAATAATAAAAAAATAATAAATAAGTATTTTTATATATTACAGAAAATTGCACACTCTTGTAGAAGAGTAAAGTTTCACAGAGAAGGAAAAATTAATTTCTGCTATATGCTAATTAATTTTGCTTGAAGTTTTGATCATAATATCATTTTAGAAAGTAAAATCAAATGCTGAATTTTATTTCCTCTTTTTTAAACTTATATAAATGGATAAACTTATCTATTTTGCCTTTTAACTATATGGAAAATCTGCCAATGTACATATTCAAATAAAGAAATAATAAATTAGTAGTTACTTTCAGCAATACACTTTTATCCTTTTAGATTAGATAAATTAACAAAAATAATAACAATGACAAAATAACCTTTTAGATTATTTTTTTACTGTTTTGACTGATTTTTCTTTTTTTTTAATCTATGTCAAAACTAAGGATGGACACATCACTGCATATGTATGTAATTTATTAAGAGAAAACAAACCTAACTCTTTACTCTAGCGATGTATTTATGGAAAGTTCTCTAAAGATAATCTAACAATCATGTTACTCATGACCAGAAACGGAGAAAGACCTAAATGCAGTTGTTTCCTCATATTTAGCTCTTCAGGATACAAATTAAAAAAGAGCATTCAGTGAATTTGTCTTTTTAGTTATTAGTATCTCAATTACATTATAAGCCAAAATATTTATTATCATTTATACAATATTTTGAAATTAATTACATTACTCCTAATTTAAACCACATTTTTTATTCAGATTTTGAAGATGCAAAATTAGTTTGTGGATTAAATTCAAAGTGAATACTTTACAAAAAGAATTAAGTAACTCAGTACATTAGTACCTATTTAAGAAAATAATATGTTTCTTGTTTTTTAATACCTATTATAAAACTATTTTCACGTTATATTATTTTACTCTGGCTTAAATTAAATGTACAGCAATAAATCTAAATATGAGCTAAGAGAAGGTGATTTAGATTTTAAATTTAGTATTACACAAAATCTATAGAAAGTGAAACGGAGAATAATTTCTCAGAAAATTTATGAAATTTGATCAAAATACAGATTTGGATTTTCCAGAACATAATTGAAAAAGAGTACAAATTAAGACAGAGAGGAACTGCACAGATTTCATCTAATGCTATGAATGCATTTTTCATAGAATTTTCAATTTTGAACATACTTTAAAAATATAAAATGCTCTAATATTTACTTGCCCAAATGAAAAGTGGACAAGTTGAAGAAAACTAATACCTTTATTGTAAATCAAAAGAAATCGTCATGGACGTTGTAACACGGGTCCCAGCGTAGCAGCAGCAGCTCGATACCTTTCCTGTAGAAAGATTGGGGCTGATTCCTGAGGAAGTTCTGCATGGCTTCCTTAACTCCATTGTCCAAATGGAAATGTTTCCCCTGTAAAGCTCTCTTAAGTGGCCTAAAGATGTGAAAGTCACAGGGTAACATGTCCGGACTGTATGTGGGGTGCTCCAAAACCTCCCAACGGAATGTGTTTAAGGTCCTCTGGGTTTCCTGGGAGACATATGGGCAGGTATTATCATGCAGAAGGATTACTCCTTGTGTGAGAAGGCCTGGCCATTTGTTTTTTATTGCTCATCGCAGTTTCTTCAGAGTACTGCAATATTGTGCAGAATTGATAGTGCTCCCTTGGTGCAGGAACTCAATTAAAATTGGTCGACGACAATCGAAGAAAAATGGAAGTACCACTTTCCATGCAGTTATCATTGCTTTCAATTTCCGTAGTGGAGGAGATGAGCTGTGTTTCCATTGCATACTCATTTTCTTGGATTCAGGTGTATAGTGGTGGCACCAGGTCTCATCGCCCGCAACGGTACGATCCAGAAATGCGGGATTCTCCTCATAACGGATCAAGTGCTGGAGACAGAAGCCCATTCATCGTTTCTGATGATCAAGGGTCAGATGTTTTGGTACCCATGCCACACACACTTTGCTGTACTTCAGATGTTTGTGCACAATGGTGTTAACCGTTCCTTTACTCAGGTTGAGTTCATGACTGATTTCACGGGTCGTAACCCTTCGATTAGCTTGGATCATTTCATTAACAGAGGCAATGGAATCATTGGTGATCACTTTGTTTGCTTGGTCCAGTCTCGCCAGATTCGATGTCGCTTGCCACCCTTCACGGAAACTTTTACACCATCTGTTTACAGCCATATGACCTAAACAGTGGTAACCATACACTGTCACCATTCTTCGATAGATGTCCGCATTACGCTCACCTTCCACAACCAGAAACCGTACTACCGAGCGTTGTTCTGATCTGGACGCATCCATGGATAGCACGACTTTCCTTTTGCACAATTTAATCTCCTACAAACAGGTTTCAAGGTTAAATGCCGTCTGAGATGCATACATCATACCGCCCTTTATATACTTGTGCAGTGGCGCTGCTATTTATTCTGATGTTATCGCACGTGTCCAATTTTCATTTGGGCAACCCTTATATTAATTTGCCGTCAAAAAAAGTCTTTAATTTAACATAAATTTCCCTTTATGCCCAGATAGATTTAAGAAGGAGGGAAATTATTCAGCTTAATATATTAATGATACTTTAATAAATTAATTCGAAAATAATGTTGGCAGAAAAAATACCTCAATAGCGCTACATTTCTGTAAATGCATATCACAAGTAGGGCATTTCATTTCTGGCTCACCTATATAAACATCAAAATTAATCAGCAAAAAATTTATATATCACGATTATTGAGAACTAAAAGTTCAAATTAAAAAAAACTTATTAATGAAAACTAAAAGTTAAAATAAAAAATTATAAGAAATTAGATGTTTGAAACAATTTAACATTTATTGACTTCAAAATAATGAGTTGATGCCTACCCTCATGCTGGTATGGTTAAAAACAACAGTATGGTTGGATGAACAACAATCTATAAAAGTGTAGCTAATATAAAGTGACCACACGTCCCGATTTTGGCGGGACAGTCCCGCTTTTTGGAGGACTGTCCTGTGTCCTGCCGATTTTTAAAAATGTCCCGCTTTTTAGAAAACATCTGAATTTCTTATTTTAAATGCACTGTAAAAATATATTACCTATTATTTATTAATTATTATAGTGAATATAAGAACAAAAAAAAAAAAAAAAAAAAAAAAAAAAAAAAAAAAACACATAAAATGCATGCAGAGTAAACTAAATTAGGCGATGTAACGAGTTAGATTTACTTGCTGGTGTTCAATCATAGTCGTTACGTCTTGCCAAGGAATATGCATTGTTAACGGAGGAACAGCTAGCATTAGCTGAAAGGCTATTTGCTTTCCATACCATAAACCACAATCATAGTTCGAGATCAATTGATTGTACGTCGTGAATAATCAAAACATTGTACGACAAAAAATTTGTATGTGCAAGGACAAAAACCGAAGCAATTATTTGTAATGTTTTCCCATCATATTCGTTTTCACAATTGCAGAAAGAATTAGATAAATGCACATTTATATCCACATATTATGATGCTTCCAACCACAAAGCTTTAAAATTATTTCCCACAATTGTTAGAATTTTTGATCCAGAAACAGGAATTAAAATTAGAACATTAGATTTTGTTTCATTGCCGGGTGAAACTTTTTATTTCCAGTGGCAGATTTTAAACAGTTACAGTTTTGTAACAGAGTCCATTAATTTATACTAAGGCCAGATGTGGTGGTCTCTTTATTATGGAGACACCTAATAGGTGGGCCACCATTGCCTCCTATGAAAGGACAGACAGTTACAACCGTGCCTTCTTTGGGTTCGAACCCAGGCCCTTCAGTATCATTTGAGCCCTAACCTCTATACTGTCTGGGCGGCTGCTAGGTGAAACTTCACAAATAATTTTTTATTTGATAAGTACTATTTTAAAAAAGAATAATTTGAACAAAAAGAATAATTTGACACTAATGCAAATTTTGGTGGAAAAGCTAGAAGAGGCATCAATAACGTTTTTACGAAACTTAACGAACATTTGAACCAAAAAATTATTCGAGCAAGTTGTGCAGCGCACATTCTATACAATACTTTTCAAATAGCATCTGACTTATTTCCAGTGGATGTTGAATATTATTGCAAAAATTTATTCGTATTTTTATATACGGTGCGTGTCGAAAGTTTGAAGGACTTTTCTGAAAGTGCAGAAATCAAACATAAAAGAATTATTAGTTACAGCAAAACATGATGGCTAGCTCTTTTACCAGCTGTAGTAAATATTTTAAAATATACAAACCATTAAAATCACTTTTTATCACAAGATAAATGTCCAAGAATATTGCAGCTCTTTTTCTGAAAATGACACATCACAAATTTGGCTTCAGTTCATCCACAACCAAGCTTCATTATTTCACAATACTGTGAAAATTATTGAAGGGGACGAAATTTCAGTTAAGGAAGTGTCAAATGAAATCAATAATTTAAAAACAAAATTGTGAGAAAGAATTTATAACGATTACGTTCCTTTAGTTATTCGAAAGGACATCACTAGGTTGGAAGAACAAGGTGCCATTAAACGACCAGATTTTCTGAAAGAAGTCAGAAATTTTAAAAATAACTGCTTGGAATATCTTGAAGAACGAACAGTTCAATTCGAGGATATTAAAAACTTTCATAGGTTGATTTTAAAAAAGGAGATTTTATGGGAATATGTGGAAAAGTCTTTTTAATATATTAGTAACCATTTTCCGAAAATAATATTTGCAAAAATGAACTTTTAGATGAGGTGTCATTGGTAAAAAGATACATTACTGAAGAAAAAATTAAATGTTGGTTGCCTGCAAATGTGAAAACACACAAAAAATGGACTGAGTTATTCCTTCATTTTAAGCAGAATAATATTCCTTATGAAAATATTTTGAAAATTGTAGAACACGCGCTCCCCCTTCCAGGAACAAATGCAGCAAGAGAACATGTTTTTTCTAGTATCAATAAAATATGGACTATTGGAAAAACGCAGTTGAACATTAAAACTAAAATCTGTATTAAGCATAAAATATAATATGACCAATTCATATGAGAAATTTCACAAGATTTTAATAAATGATTCGAATCTATTGCAAAGTATTCACTTGGATAAAAAAATATCACCATGAAAGAAAATCATAAATTTTTAAAATTAATTAAAAAAAACATAATATTCAAATTATAGTTTTTACAATATTTTTACAGTTACTAATAGTTAATAATAAATATATTTTTATACATTTATAGACAAATATATATGAATTTATACAATAAAATACATTTTTTTAATTATTGGTCTGCTTTCATAACTAAATTATATTCATAACTACATTTCATAACTAAATTATAATTCTCATTTCATTCCATTTGTCATTTTTGCAAATATAAAAAGATACATTACTGAAGAAAAAATTAAATGTTGGTTGCCTGCAAATGTGAAAACACACAAAAAATGGACTGAGTTATTCCTTCATTTTAAGCAGAATAATATTCCTTATGAAAATATTTTGAAAATTGTAGAACACACGCTCTCCCTTCCAGGAACAAATGCAGCAACAGAACTTGTTTTTTCTAGTATCAATAAAATATGGACTATTGAAAAAACGCAGTTGAACATTAAAACTAAAATCTAACCAATTCATATGAGAAAATAATCATAAACTAAAATATGACCAATTCATATGAGAAATTTCACAACATTTTAATAAATGATCCGAATCTATTGCAAAGTATTCACTTGGATAAAAAATATCACTGTGAAAGAAAATCATAATTTTTTAAAATTAATTTAAAAACGTAATATTCAAATTATAGTTTTTACAAATATTTTTACAGTTACTAATAGTTAATAATAAATATATTTTTATACATTTATAGACAAATATATGAATGTATACAATAAAATATATTTTTTTGAATTATTAGTCTGCTTTCATAACTAAATTATAATTCTCCTTTCATTCCATTTGTCCCGCTTTGTCTCAATGAAAATGTGGTCACTGTAAGCTAATAGTACCATAATTCTAAATTATGCTGAGTTTTTGGGTTGTGGCTAATGCTTTTTGTTTTTTAGTTTCTGATATGTCAAGCAGACAAGAAACTTCTTTTTCAGTTTAAGTACATGAGATCAGCAAATCATACAGGATACAGAATAAATCTATGATATATAGGCTTCATTTCAGATCTCTTGTAATATTATAAAACCAAAAGATAGTTGTAAAAAACATTCACGAAAATGAATAAGTCGAGAATCACTTATGAAACATGACCTAAATTACTATACCTGAAAATTTAAACTGAGTCTCTTGATGATTCAGGAGGATTTATGGGATGTTATTATTACTTAAACAGTAACTACAAAGTGGGTTTCGAAAGACGAAAAAGCTAGAGCAACTATAGGACTTTTATTGGAAGATAACCAATTAGGACATATTAGAAAGTGTACAACAGTGAAAGAGGCTTAGGATACTCTCAAACAGTACCATGAAAAGTCAAAACTGTCCTGAAAAGTTGAGCTTTTGAAAAAGCTGTGTAATTTGCAGTACAGCAATAAAGAACAAATGAGCAATCATCTAATGAAAATGGAAGCTATTGTGAATCAACTAGTAGTGCTAGGTGAGAAAATTTCCGAACCTTTATTCGTTGCATTTATTTTAAGTAGCTTACCTGAAAAAGCTTTAAGTAGCTTACCTGAAAATTATGCTACATTAATAACAGCTTTAGAAACACAACCAGAAGCAGATTTAACTGTTGAATTGGTTAAAAATAAATTGTTGGAAGAGTATAATGGTCAAAACGAAAATAAAGAACCTGGTACAGGAAGTGAGAATAAAGCTTTGAAGTCAAATTTTTCTTTAGCATGTAATATTACAGCTGATAAAAATAAAGTACCTAGTTGTTTCTTATGTAAGAAATTAGGGCATTTAAAGGCTGACTGCAGGAAATATGCAAAATGGAAGCTTAAGCATAATCAAAAGCAACAAGTCAATGCAACTATGAACTCGAGTGACATTAATGAAGCGAAACAAGTTTCTAATCAACATTGCTTTACAAGTGGGAATAATTTACATGGTTATTGGTGCATCAAAACTGCAGTCACCACTCATATGTGCAATGATAAAACTCTGTTTAGCAGTTTTGATAGTAATTCTGTTCCTGAACGAATAACTTTAGCTAACGGATATACAGTGCTTAGTCTAGGAAAATGTAATTGCTGGGTAAAATATCAGAATAATCAAAAAGAGAAAATACAGATTATGATCAAAGATGTGCTTTTTGTACCACAACTATCTGGAAATTTATTATCCATAAAAAGCTGACTGATAATGGATATGAAGTGAACTTTAAAGATGCAGAGTGTCATATTGTGAACAATGATAATATAATAGCTTTCGGCTACATCAGAGAAGGTTTTTATGTTCTTAAGAAAAGTGAGCCTGCACTTCATACGAAACAAGTCCATATAGAATACATTCATAACTAGCATATAAAATTAGGTCACAGAAATTCTGCTGATATTTTAAGGATGCACAAGAATGACTGAAGGTATGAATATTGCTCCCTGTTCTACTGTGAGAATTGTATAGACATGTAAGGATTGTATTGCTACCAAAGCATGTAGAGAACCATTTCCAAGAAAGTCTACTTCCTGATACTCGATTTAGAGCATACAGATCTTTGTGGACCAATGAAAACTGTAACTCCAGGTGGTGCAAGATATATACTAACAGTAATTGATGATTATAGTAGATACACTACAGTTTGCCTTCTGAAGCATATAAAAGAAACTAAACAACATATCACACCCTTCATCAAACAAGTATTAACACAGTTTGGGAAAGCAACAAAACGACTGAGATCATTAGTTGCTAAAACTAGCAGTCTCATTTTAAAATTGCATTCTAAATTTTTCTTTGAAATTAAATAAAATGCATGAAAAAATTCAGTCAATTTCCAGTTCTACACATTGTGCTCTAAGGCAGGGTGTATAAAAATCACATATTTTTAAAAAATTTTAATTGGCGTTTTTTAATCTTTATTTTATTAATTTTTGCTAAAAATTTATAGTACCAAAAAGTGCAATTACTAGAAAGCACTTCTAGCCATCTTAATTAATCATTAAAACTACTTACACCATACCCTAATTTATACCATATTAAGTATATAAGTCTTTCTTGAATGACTGAAACTGAAAATTATTAAAAAGTAAAGAAATAAAATAAATAAATAAATAAAAAACCTTTTAGATTTTACATTACGTCCAAAGGTACTTTTTTTAACCTTTTGTGTGTTATCTTTATTTATTAAATAACATGTTCTTTGTACTTAAGCCATAAACTTCAACAGCAATATCGCAAATAATTTTAAAATGAGCATATCTTACATAAAAATGTCTCACGCCCGCTATGTTTTTTTTTTTTTTTTCCCCCTGTACAGTTTTGCCATTGCTCCCTTTGAAATTGTTGAGTTTAATAATCAAAAATTCATTAAAGTGTTACAAAATACGAAATCAATAATAAAACAAATTTCAAATTCCAAATTAGGGCTTCCAGATGCCCATATTCAGTACAAGATTACGTTATTCAAAATTTGATGGCTCTAGGTACCAATGTTTTATCACAATGTGAGATACATACATTTATGCAGATTCTTCATTATTTAATTTCTTTAAATATAACTCAGGGCGATAATATTTAATGGCAACAATTTGAAAAATGAACCGACATTTAAAGTTTTCAATGCAAAATGTTAATACGAAATTAATAGTTGTTCTGGGTTAACGCCGTTTGGGCTAAAAAACAGCTGAACCCCCACAGACATACTCACAACATTTTATTTTTATTTTCAGTTAATATGTTGAATGTTAACAGTGAGAATTTCTATTTAGAGACACAAATTAAAATATGAACTTTACAGCTTTTTCAAATTCTGATTTGCCTCTCGGTGTGTTATGCAGCAAACCAAAAATGGAAAATAGGCTTTCAATACAAGTAAATGTTGCCTCAAATATGACTAATATTTTGATAATGCTTAGTTCTTTTAGTGCAAGACATTATTTTAATACATTATTTTAATTACACCAATTTAAAAATTAAAAATATACTTACTAGACAGTTCTGCATTAATACCAGTCTTACATCTGAAAATAAAATTTCATACATGACTGTAAAAAGTTAAAAGGAAAAAAATATCTTCAACAAAATTATATACTATATTTGAATTCTATTATATAAAATATAAATTTTCATAAAATTAAAAGCACGATATTACATGTTAACAGTTATGAAATGATGATGTTATGAAAAGAAGATAAAATGAGTAGGTAAAGGGAAATTAACATCAAACTCAAACAGCAAATTTAAAGTATTTTTGGAGATCCGTGAATTTAAAGGTGGTCTTGATATGCTATGAAATGAAACTATACTCAGAATTCAGATTGCTTGAGCAGTACTTGCAAGAACTGACTTGGTTGATCTATTATACCCTCAAAATTTAATTTAAAAAAATGGACAATTATTACTTGTGATAAAAAGGAATTGCTTCTTGTGGTTACAGCCTTTTGAAGAGACTTCTTTGAGCAGAATTCACTTGCTAATATCATTATTTATTTTATTTTTAAATATGACAGAACTAGAACTGAAATGTCCACCATATAAGGAAAGTATTTACTGCAGATTACAATCAGTAACAGCTTATGTTAATTGCATTCTAAAATCATTGTGTATGATATATTATACAAAACCTTTATTCTGCCATTTATATATGATACTTTGACCAAAACATACTGAGTTTCCTTTCACAGGTAGAATTTTAAATGCCACTCACCCAAAACATAAATGTCACTCATTTAAGAGATGCTAAAATGTATAACAGACTCCATCATAAGAAGCTGCACTTACTTTTATTAATTTGAAACACTAGTTTATTAATTCTTTATACACTTAACTTTCTTTTCAGCAAAAATAAGTACTTTTTTTTAACAAAAGTAACAAAATAGAATTATTTTCAATCACATCATAGAGACATAATCTTAACCCACTACTGCTGCATGAATCCTATGAAATTAGTTCCATTTAGATGAATTTTTATATTTTAATAAAAGATAATACTTTTTATCATGTCTTTATATTATTATATTTAATACTTTTTCTAAATGTAATATATTTTTAAACATGAAGTTCTGATTTTCTGATATATAATGATGCTATATTCTTGCCTTTAATGTTTATTTTTTCTTCCAGGATAGTTAAAGTATACTATAAGCCTCAGTTTCCTTCACTTTATTATACTACAGATATATAACAAACGATTAATGGGTTTCAGAAAAACAATATAGCAGTATACTATGAATATATTATGTAAACCTAATTAATTAACATGAAACCCTTTGAAAATTATACAAAATTAAACTTTAGATCAATATGGGTGTTACAGAAACTGCAAATTTCAAAGAAGACAGACTTGGGGTTTCTCTCTTTCAAATGGAAAAATATTCTGCTGATCAGATATAATCAAATTAAGAATTTTTGAATATATAAGTTTAGGTAAAATGGTGCAATTGTAATTTGTGAGAGAAAATTAAAGTACTCAAAGCTGTCAGATGTTAGTGTCTCTCCACTATGTCTGTAAATTGTCTTAAGAATATAATGCATGATAAATTTACCTTCTATATCAAGCAAATTACTTGATTAATGTACCTCCAAGGTCTCTTAGGCTTTCAACAAGAATATCATTCGTTTTATAATCTGACAATTCCTTTGAGAACTTTAAGAGGTTTAGAGGAAAAGGCATGCTAATGGAACAAACAGGAATAAGTAATTATATTAAATAAATCTTACTTTGCACAATAAAAGATCACATCTTCTCCTACGTTAGAGGCTAAATGAAATTCATGTGAAAAATTTCCACCCATATCACCACTTGCACCTTGAACTGGAACCACGAATTAAAAAAAAGTACATACTAAAACTATGCAACTAAGAAAAACAAAATAATCTTTTCAATAAAATTTCTTGAATTCAGAAAATTTAATGGTTTTGATACATTACTTTTTCAACATTATTTTCAAGGATCATTTATGATTTAAAAGGAATAAGGGCATTGTATGCATTTTCATACAGAAAACCACCAATGTACTTGAAAAATATTTGTATCATCCATGAGCAATGTACTTTTAAAATATGTATAAACATATGCAAATATATCTAAAAGAAAATGTATGTAACTGATCACTATTACCAGAGTTTACCTCTACTATTTTCAGATAAAATCACATGTACTTTTGAAATAAACAGAAATTACAAGTAACTTTTAAATATCAGCAATGGCCTGATGTAATTACATTTTATGCCTTCTATTATAAGGATTATAATTTCTGCTCTTTTTAAGTGTGTCATTTAATCCACAACAGAATTTTTATACACAACAAATATTTTACCATAAAATGTGTTATGTATGGATATGTGTATACTATGAGGAATAATGGCTATTTTTTTTAATGATTAACAAAACTTTATGAATTAAATTAGCATTTAGTAACAACTAAGAAATTAAATCTTGAATAATCAAATATTACTTTTGAATCAACTATTTCACAACAAAAATTAACCTAAAATTCTTCATTTAATATTAATATGTTTTTAGAAATTCAGAAAAGTGGTACTTATGGATTATTTTTGAAATTTACAAAGAACATCACAGCAATAGGGAAATGAATTCAATGATTAAACATAAAATAAAATTATGAAATTTTGCATTTTCGTACATCTCATCTATGGCACTGCTTAGTTATAGTCTACAATATAACTAAGTTTAACAATGAGCAGTGCATTGCCAATTATTTAACCCCTTTGAATAACTACTTAGCTTCAGAAAAATTACTCTAGTAAAAGTAGATGATAAATATCTTATTTAATTTGAAAAATAATTATCATTTAGATTAAGGCATCACTACACTGTACAAAACCTGTCTTACAATTTTACATTGTTAAAACAAAACGGTGATTAATAGATTTAAAAATAATTTTATTTTACTATCACTGTACTGTTCCAAATTGTGTAAAATCATATTTGCCTACATAATTTAAAATAATAAGAAGAGGAACATAAGTTACATTCATATTTAAGTATATTAGATTTCAAACACAGAGGATATACAAACTAAAATGCAAATCTGCACAATAAAGGATTTTTAAATATACAAAACAACTTTATAAATTTAATTCATAGTTACATAAAATAAATAGTCATAACACATTTTCTTTATTATAATTTATTCAACTGATGAATGGATAGAGATAACAAAATATAATTGCTTAACACTTTTTAACTATGCAAGCTAAAATGAAGCTGAAATTAAAGCACAATATCACTTATTAAAATTCATAACATAGTAATTCATTGTCACCATATTTACACATATTTGTTAATTTTAAATGTAATTTATTTATTAAAATACAGCACATGAATTTATTCATCAGTGTCAAAAATTCATTTTAACTTCTTTAAGCAATTGTTTATTTTATTCTGTTCATTATACTTAATTATTATTCTAAAATTGAATTCAATATGAGGTTGAATTTTGTCTACTTGTAAATTAATTTAATTACAATTATTTTGTATAAAACAGCATACTAAGCTAATCCAGAAAGTAAGTACTATTTGCACATTATCTCCTCCCTCCCAATCATACAGCACAAAGGTCATGCATGCATAGTTACATCGTTCAACTTGCAAACAATTTAGCATAGCCATTATGTTTTGTTTGCATTAATGTTTAAGGTCATTATTTGCCATTAATCATGTTTAAAATACTTAATTGGCTTGCAAACTGTGAAATAAGAGTTATTATCTAGTCTTTAATGTGAGAAATGTTCAATCTTATGCAATTTATTGCCAGATAAGTAAAAGTTATACAGAGAGCATGGCAAATGAAGGTTTGGTGTGAAAGTGCATTAGAATATTTAACAAAAGAAAGGAAAATGCCTACAATGAGAAGCGCAGTGTGGATGCCCATCATTGATAACTGAAGAACTAGTGCACTGCATCAATGAAAAAGTTTGTTTAAATAGGCGATTCACAATTTCTGATTTGTCAATGCATTTTCAAAACATTTCATAAACTTTAATACTCGAAACTGTGACTGAACATTTCCACGACAAAAAACATAGTTTGTGAAAATGCTGATGGACATTAAAAAATGGAAATGCATTGGAACCACCTTGGAGATTTTGCAGCCTTATGTGACAGAAGTAAATGACTTTTTGAAAAGTGCTGTCACAGGTGATCAAACACGGATTTATTATGAGACACCTGAGATGAAATGACAGTCACTGAAATGGCAGTATACTGGTTCTTTGAAACACAAGAAAGCAAAGCCACCTCTTCTTCAAGAACAATCATGTGCACCATGTTTTAGGCCTGCTAAGGAATTCTGTTAGTGGACCGAATGAAACAAGGCATAAGAATTAACAGTACAGTTTATTGTGAGACATAGAAGAAATTGTGCTGTACAATATACAGGGTGGGGCAAATAAAAGTGGCTCGAACAAATGGAATACGATTGGATGTGAATGTATGCATATAACTACTCTACATGACATGCACACTACATTATCCAAACCGGTTCAGAACTTAGAGTGGGCTGTGTCAGTGTGAGTTGAACAGTGGAAAGGTGAAGATGATACTCACAGTGCAGCAGAGGATGTTTTGTTGTGGAAAGTTACGTTATAGCAAAGTTGTGGAAGCCATATAATGATTAGTCAGAAAACGGCATCAGACGGAATCTGTTTTGAACAAGTCAAAACACACTACCAAATGTGTCTGCAGTTCAGCAGAAAATGTTTCAGAATTCTACCAAATCAACTTGACACCTGTTGCAAGAGACCGAGATATCACATTGATCATGCGAATGTATACTCCACCTGGACCTGAAAATGCATCCCTACAGAGTGTCTGTTGTTTATGCATTAAAACGAGCAGACACTCCTCAGCGCCTTCAGTTTTGTAAGTTGCTGTTCACTGAGATAACAGTGAATGGCTTGGAAGTGTATATTTTCTTTATTTCCGATGAAGCCTGGTTTCACTTGAGTGGTTATGTCAATTCACAGAATCACAGGTTCCGGGCAGCGAAGAATCCGCATACCTTCCACCAAACACTATTGCATGATCAAGAAAGTTGAACTGCACACCAAATTATTAATCCAATCTTCTTTCATCAGATGTTGAATTTGGAGTGTTACATTACCATCACTCTTAAACCATTTGTGACAGCACTAACTGAGGAGAAAAAGACATACAGTTACTTCTAGCAGGATGGAGCAACTACCAATACAGCCGGTCGCACTTTGGATTTCATTTACACATCTTCATGCTTGAGAGAGTTGTTAGCAGAGGTCAGTCTGGTATTGATCCTAGCTGGCCACTCTGGTCACCTGAATTCAGTGTGTGATTACTTTTGTAGGAAACCCTCAAGTCTAAGGTGTATTTCAACAACTCTCATAGTCTTTCAAGACCTGCAGCAGACTATTTTGGATAAGATTGCAGCAATTCCTGCAGTCCAGCTTTGATCTGCCTTCAGCAACTTACTGACCAGTGTCCAAAAGTGTCAAGAGATGAATGGTGGTCAATTTCAACATCTCTTATAGTCAAGGTAGTACTGCATTTCTCTTCTTTTGCTGTGTTCCTTTGTAACCTGGAACTCTGTTCTCCAGGCCACTTTTATTTGCCCCATCCTGTAGAACAAAAGGCATGGACTACTGACTTCTGGTATTGTGCTTGTGCATGACAATGCGTGACAGCATATTGCATGCGTAACCATGACACTGCTTGATCCATTTCGCTGAGAACAATTCTGTCACCCTTCTTATTGTCCGGACCTACACATAACCTACTCATAGTACCATCCAACTTCATCTGTTTTCTCATCTCAAGAAATTTCTTACTGGGCAGCATTACACAAGTGATGATGAGATCAAGGTAAGTATCCAGAACTGGTTCCGATTACAGACAGCGAAGCGAGCTTGTCAAAATTAGACCCAAGATATGACACATACCTTAATTTGCATGGTGAATATGTCAAAAAGTAGTTTAAGGTGTGGAGATTTTTCTGTAATAAAATTTAAATGAAATCAAATTGCTGAGCTGTTTTAATATCCAAACAGTATTTTATGCTCTGGATTTGCTTTATTAAAATATTTTTTTCAATAAAAACAATGAAAAACAGAAGAGACCTTTAGAATATATCTTTCTGAGTTTGAAATTTATTTACTATGTGCTTACTTGCTAAAATATAAAAAAATAAACTCATTTAAATTTTAATTTATTAATTCTCTTATTTAAATTTTAATCTCTTATTTAAATTATAATTTATTAACAAAAACTTACTCAATTTTCATTATTAACAACATTTGTGCATTATTATATCAACACTAGAATTATAAATTTATATTTTATAACATATTTTCAGCAAGTAAATCACAATAAATGAATAACTACTACAGTACCAAGATAAACAATTTTGAGGAATTTTTTTATTTAAATTAAAGGAAGACTAAATACAAATATCTTACAGCTGTTATGAAATTTCAGTTAATTTCAAAAAGGAAATATTTTTCCTAAGGTAAGTTACAGTAATTTGTATCAACCACCTTTTGAAAGAAATCGAAAGAATAATTAAAAAAAAAAAAAAAAAAAAAAAAAGATTGTTAATTTACATTTAAAATTAATTTTAATGAATGTGTAAGCCATACATAAATAATAAAAATAATGAACTATATAAAATAAATTTTTAAATAATTATTATAAAATACCTTTTAAAGCATCAACACCTAAAAGTTGGAAGAAATCACTGTACACTTTGCATACAGCTTCATAAGTGATTTTTGCATTTTCTTCAGAAGAATCAAAAGCATACATATCTAAAAAAAGAGACATCTTTTTATTTTTCCTTATAAAATTAAATGCTGATATAACTCTTATTTACCTGATATGTTCATTATTTAGAAAATATTAAACAGGTAATTTGCATTAAACACTTGCAGTTTAAACATTTATTTTAAGTTTATTTTTCTAAGAGAAATATACAAGTTCTTGAAATGTTATTTAAAAAAGACCATGTATTTAATTAAAAAGAACACAGCATCTTAGTTAAAATGTTGACATAATATCTCCACCTCATAAATAATCAAACAATCTGAGACCAGTGTTACAGGGTGTCCAAATCAAATGTACCTAACTTGAAGAGGTCGCTCCACTTGACAGAGAGTTTAAAGGCATAAGAAAACTATAAAATTAGATACCAATAATCACAAAGTTTTTATTAAACAATCAGTACAATTCCAAGTGAGCTCCCTTAGCAGCACAGAGAATGTCCACCAGTAGTCCAGTTCCAGCCATGTACACTGTAGCATTTCCACAGTCACAGTAGCAAAAGCTGTGGTTATGGAGGCACGAAGGTCTTCAATACCATGGATGTTACATGAGTAGACTTTCTTTCATGTAGCCGCAAAAGAAGAAATTGAGAGGAGTTGCAAGGGAGATCTTGGAGGCCAGGCAATTGGCCACCCCGTCCTATCCATCGGTTAGGGAAAGTTGTATCTAAAATTGCGTGAACATGCTTGTCTCAGTGAGGAGAGATGTTATCTTGTTGTAAGATAACAGTATAACAGTGGGTTGCAAATGCTGCATTTGGAGTATTGCAAAATTTGGAACATGTCCAGGTAAATGTTTGCCGTCACAGACATCTCAGCAAAGAAAAATGATCCTATGACGGTATCATGTGATAAAGCACACCAGACATTGATTTTTGGGCTGCTCCATTTCAATTCGTGCACTGAATGGTTATTTTACGAGCCCACATCCTGCAGTTGTGCTAATTAATATTGTTGCTAACATGAAATGTAGCTTCATCTAGGAAAAAAAAAAAGAAGAAGAAGCGGTTTAGAAAGTCATGTTCATTTTCAACGAGATAACATCTCCACAGCAAATACTGCATGCTGTGGCCAATTGTTTGGTTGCAGTTTCTGCATAATCTGCATTTTATATGCATACATCCTTAGTTTTTGATGCAGAACATCATGAACAATTGATTGTGGCATAGATAATTCAGAAATTGCCTGCCTGATCGACTGACAAGGGCTCCAAATGAAAGCTTGTTGAACATTTTCCACACATGCATCAGAATGTAAATGCTGATCACCCGGATCTTTTCTGTACACTTCCCTTTTTTTTTTATACTCTTAGTTTGAGGTGGCCTTTCTGTTATAAACTGTTTGAAACATTTTTTGATTTTTACTACGGGTTTGTGCTCTACATACCAGAGAACAATTCATGGCTTCCCTTGCAGTGATGCCATTTTTCTGTTTGTCAGCTCAGCAAAAGCACAGGTGCATCACATGCGAGAAAAAAGTATTGTCGTCGAGCTCTATGAATTCAGCTCCCATATGTGGGCAATATCGCCCTCGTACCCCTAAAACTTTGTTTTCAGTTGACTGTTCAAAATAGGTGCATTTGATTCGGACACCTGTATATCAGAACATATTTTGACTCGTCATTCCTCATACAAAAAGACCGAGAACTGTTGACCAATCTTCAAAAATTACTTCTATTTGCAGTGGGCATTCTTAATAAAATATAAAAAAAGTTGCTTCACAATCATTCTGTTGTTGTTGTGACTTATCTCACTTCACTGACTGCAACATCAGAACAAGCTAACCAATGATGAAAATGTAACCACTGAACAAGCGCCCGGTTGGGCGGTACAATCATTCTTCATACATGAATGGAGGAATTCCATGACAGGTTGATGAACACTCATGTTTTGGGAGGCAGTAAATACTAATTTTCACTAGATAAAGTTCTTTATGATAATAAAGGAACAGAGTTCTTAGTAAAAAAAAAAATATGATAGAACTAAAAATTAGATTAAATAACTATAAAGTTCTCAACTTGAGGTAAAGACCTATATATCAACAGAGGAAAAAGAAAACAACTAGAGAATTTTTTAAAGAACTGTATCATGTTCATATGACACATATGAGAAACATAACAGCAGGAAATATGAAAAAGAAAGCCTCATAGTCAAAATTAAATGAAGAGATTGCCAATATACTGCACTTCCAACTAGTTGACTAGTTGCTAAGCTCTCAGTATAAAAATTATTAAAAATTTTTCAACAGACATTGGTTTCAAATGTAACAGGCCAGCACATGCTAGTGACTTGGATTGGGGGAAGGGAGAAGGGACACATTTCAGATGGACTGCACAAATGTTTCTGCTAACAGTGGTATTGTATTATATAGCAAGTTGTTTGTGATTAACTACCTATCTTTGGAGAAATAAAAGTTACAGTATTTTACAAAATCATTTCTGAAATAAATGGGAAAAAAAACTGACATGGCAATTTTGAATACACAGTATCACATAATTTAGAATATATAGTATACAACACAAACCTTTCATAATAAATTCCCGTCCACGCAACAGACCTAATCTTGGATTCATCTCATCTCTAAATTTTGTAGATATCTGTAAAAATAAATAAATAAATCACCAGTAATTTTTATTCTCATATATATATATACAGTACAAAGTCCGTAATCTGGACTCGTCGGGACTTCGGCGATTCCGGATTATGGATTATCAATTTAAATCTGGTAAGATGGCATGCAGAAATTATACAATTAAATATATGAAATCGCGATTTATGAAATAAAGAGCAATTATGATCTAAAGGGTATCAATATTTACAAAAAAAAAGCTTAATATTTATTTGTTTACTTTATTAAACTTTCAGTGTACGTTGTTTAGTTTAAGATGCTTCCACAAAATATTGAAAAAGTTCCTTTTTCTTTTTGCTTATGTCATATACAGTTGACTTTCCAATGTCATACTCCTCGCATAATTTTGAGACGGATATGCCTTCATCCATTTTTTTCCAGCAATTCCACTTTTTGTTTCATGGACATCAAAACATGCTTTCACTTTGTAGATTCTTTGACAGCTCCAGAATTGGAAACTCTTTTTGACATAATCGAAAGTTCAAGCTTAATTTTTATAAGATTGCTCTAACAGTCTGCAAAAAATAATAAGCCAGATCCAATTAGAAGATTAAGGAACAGCGCAATCTGCAACATTAACTGAAATGCCTTAGATTTAGTAAAGATAATTTTAGTCTAGCTTATACCATATGTTACACATTAAGTGGGCATGCATAAACGCATTACGCGCATGCATAAACGCAAAAACGCAATACGCGCATGCAGAAATACAATACAAGCACGCGTAAAGCATACAAAAAAAAGTTTGTGGCTTTGAGGTCTGGATTATAGATCATTCCGGATAATGGACATCCGGATTACAGACTTTGTACTGTAATCACATAGCAATGCATGGTCGGAAATGCTTTTTTGGCACGGTAGTGATGACATGAAAGTCAAGAAAAACAGGACACAAACGGGGTGAGAAAACATGTTTATTATTCAGAGTACAACAAAAAACAAAGAAAAAACAACATAAAGAGACCGTGACCATCATCAAAGGCGTTCTTAATTACAACCTGGACCCTGATGCAGTGGCCTTGCATCATGCATCTTCCATTCCTGATGCAGAACATCTCTGCGGCAGAGAAGTGAGGCCAGCATCGTGGTCCTGAGTCGTAATTTCGAACAACTTGTTTAATGACGATTCTTGTTTGCATTTGATCTTATTTCTAGGTTTCTGTATATTAAACATAATAAAACATGTTTTATCTCACTGTTTGTGTCCTTCCTTTTTTTGAGTTTTGTGTCATCACTACCACACCAGAAAAGCATTTCCGATCGTATAGGTGTACTTTTTTTCTCCTGAAAGTCTGTCACCACTGTACTGATACACCCTGTATATATATATATATATATATATTATAGTAATTCAATTATATTTAAAAAATAATTCTACATTCCAGTTAAAATATGCAATAGAAAGTTGAGAACCTGTAAGAACAAAAGCAAAAGAATAAAGGCCGACAGACAATCAGTAGAACAGACATATTAAATCATTTCGTAACTCATCAGACGGATGGACACACACACATATAGATATATATATAGTTGATAGGCGCATAAATCTCGTCGATTATTTCAAATTGCAAATTCAGAGTTATATACTGATGAATCACGGACTAAATATAATAATTTAGTTGTTATTAAAATATATTAAATTGCTGGCATGTTAAAACGCAGGCTCGAGAGCCACGTATGGCTCTTGCACGAATTCAAGATTTGATTTTTAAAAAAGATAAGTTTTTTTTTCATCATTGTATGTAGCCATATTTTACATTCAATAATTTTTTATGCGTGTTTTGTTTTCAACCTGATGTCACAACCCAGGGTTTGCATAGCGTTTCGGCCACTACACCCAGCAGTAATATTAAAAAATGTGGCAGTTTTTTAGGGATCGTTCCTGAGTATTTAGGAACGACTTTTCGCCTGAACATTTTTATTTTTTTATTTATTATTTAGTTTTATGTGAACAGTCAAGACTTTCTTCTCTTCAGAAAATCTAATTTTGCGTGCAAAGACAGTTCGCGTGGTTAAGCCTCTTCAGTGACAAGTGACAGTGGTCAGAAGGAACACCGGAGTAAGCGTGATCTAATGCACAAAATTGAAATTTCCCGAAGAATATCCAGTTGCCAGGGGATCATTGAAGGCATCTTCATTGGTGAGTACCATTTTTGTGATTTTGGAGAAGTTATGCCATTATTTTGAGACTAGGTTAATTTGATCTAGTTCAGTTTTGGGGATCAAAGTTGGTGGTTATTGAAAGTAGCTTGTGGTTCTGTTGATAATTGAATTAATTGGTTTGTTCTATGTTTTAGTAACTGTTTAAATTGTATGAAGATTGTAAGCTTCAAAAATCTAGTTTTTTTAAGTCTAGAGTTAGAAGACAATATTATTTGAAATAGAGCAGGAAAGGTCCTCTTAAGTTCCATTTTTTTTATAACGCTTGTATGTCAGGTATTATTAATTAAGTTTTGTAAGGCAATTTGTGTTCAGAATTGTTAGGGAATTATTCATTTTGGAGAGATAGACTTTGTTTTGTTTTTGTGCTATTTATTTCAGGTAGGTTATTTTTCTTTAATTTTCCATAATGGGTGAGTTATGAGGAAATTTACTAAAGCTCTGCTATTGGAGTTAGCGGAGGATTTTGAAACAATGTGCTTAGGCAAATAGAGTAAGAGAAATTAGGCAGGCTATTCTAATGCCGATGCTATGAAGAATAACTGGAAAGAATAGCCAAGAATTTGGGCTGCGGCTGAGCAGAGAAGCAGAAGAAATAGCCGTGAACGTAACAAGAGAGCAGAATGGGAATGAACAAGAGAGCGCAACGGAACAAAAGATCAGAGGGAACGTTAAGAGACGGAACGTGTGGACGAGTTTTTGAATTGGAAAGGTTTAAAACTGATGAATGTTGTTCATTAATACCTAGCTTCCATGGTTTTCGAAAGTTGAACAAAAAAAAAGGTTAATTTGAAAGATCTATACCCCGCGAACCTATTAATACAGATTTTTCATATTCTTTGCTATTTGAGAAACAGCTCAAAAGAGAATGTTAATGAGATTGATTGTCTCGCAATTAATTCCTTTATTACCTCACGATGTAGCCCAGTTAAATAGTGAAAGAACCAGCGATAAGGGATGATATCATCATTTCCAATTACTCTGCAGATTCAAGCTTTAGTTCTTGGGCACTAAACAAAATTTGAAGACATTCCAGAAAAACGGAAGTTATGGGTGGATTTAATGTTGAATTGAGAGTGTATTTAGAGAATGGTTGGATTCAGTAGAAGTGAAGATTTTGAAAGTCTTAGGACTTATGCTCACTGAGCAATTAGCCAAGTCCCTCTAGAATAAGAGAGCACTACTTAGCATTGGGAATAATTTAAAACACATTCCATTTACAAGAAATGCGACAATATGAGGCTTTGCGAAGATACGATGCCGTTAGAACAGAGCGTGCACGGTATGCCGCTTTTGTGACACCCTTTTTGGATCTTCATCCCGAAGAAATGATGTTTGGCTTTAAATGCACTTTCTATTTTTGTCAATTGAGCGCTCCATTTTTAGGAGGGTGGACAATTTTTTTACCTATTTGACGACATCCGCAGTCTTTTTGCCAACTTGAGACAGGCATATGAAGGATTTGGATTTGTAGTCCCTTCAGGAGCTAAATTGATTTCTAACCCTCGAAATGAAATTGCACAAGACCACGTGAAATTTCTGGGTCATGAAGTATGTCTGGAAAAGGTCGCCTATGAGGCCAGTTTCGAGCAATCAGAGCTTTTCGATCCCCCTACGAAACCAGATCCTTGGTATGTGGGCTACTATGCAGAGAAAAAACGACATCAGTAGGCTCAATTGACAGCCTCTTGAAGGGCAAAACAAAAGAAAAAGTAATTGACAAGAGGCGACGGGCTTTTAATAAACTGAACCAACTGTAAAATTCCGTTTAGTTGCACCAGATATTCAAGAATTTATGTGCATACGATTCAGCTTATATGGTGCGGGTATTGTGTTGTCTCAATTCCGGATGGGGAGACACCCTATACGTATCTAGCAAAAAGTTTACTAAAGTGGAGCGAAATTATAGCACCATTGAAAGAGAACTAGCGGCCATTATTTATAGACTGAAGAAACTAAGTCATTCCTTAGAAGGACAGAAATTCAAGATCCAGACGGATCATAATACGTTGACTTTTTTAAACAAAATGATGGGATCAAATTTTCGTTTGACTCACTGGGCATTGTGTCTCCAACAGTACAATTTTGTACAACAAAAATGTACAATTTTGAAATTGTACATAGGCCAGGCAAATTACACAATAATGCAGATGGCTTGAGTCATGCCCTAGTCTAGTGACTGAATATCATTAGTGGATACAAAGTAAGGTAAAAAGTAATGAATGGGTGAAAAGATTTTTGTACTTTTGGAATATTTGTGTCGATTCAAAATGTTTGCATGTGTATTTCCTTTTCAAAAAAATGTTAATGAAATGTTTATCTTAGTCTTACATTGTGTAAAATTGAGGATATGCTTTGTAAATGCACACCTTAGATTTAAATTATTTTTGTTGTATTGGTGCGGTTATGTTACTGAAAAGTGCAGGGTACAACTGCTTCTCTTTCACTAAATGGTTACCACTTTTGTTTTGAAAGCATGAAAATATTTAGAATTTTCCTTCCATAGTCAAAAAAATTCTTTATTAGAGAGGAGGTAAATCGTATAAAAGCGACTGATTTCAAATTGCAAATTCAGGTGCATATCATGAGAAATCAAGGATAAATATAATTTAGTTGTTATTAAAATAATAGAACTTACTGGCAAGTAAAACCAGGCTCGAGAGCACTATTGCCTCAACATTTGATGTTAGAAATTTGATTTTTAAAAATATAGTTTTTCTCTTCAGATGTATGTAGCCATATTTAGCATTCCAATTTTTTTTATGCTGTTTGTTTTCAACCTATGTCACAACCCGGTTTGCATAGCGG